AATTCGTAAGTCGGTACATTTTCTGTGAGACCAAAACTCTTGATGATCTGTTCACGCAAAAATAACTTGGAATAAACTGATAATCAGTATTGTACAGATTAAAGCAGRTACAGTATAAATTCAATTACGAAACCTTTCAATTTGGGACAGTTTTTTGATTGGTTACCCCTGAAACACGCAAGGCATTATGGGGATGTGAAAGTAGGGTATATACCTAACTATACCCAACCACCCAGGCACCTAACCAGCCATCCAACCAACCAAAACCGAACGAACAAAAGAATAACGCATTACTCACAGATATTTTAATGCTGTCAGCTCACCGAGCGCTCCAGGTACCACTTTTTTAACATTGCTCTCGGAAATATACCTAAGCACAAAGAAACAAAATATTGATACGACTGAGGGACCAACACTTGAGTGCACACAATATATCCATGCAACAATACTAGCTTTTGTTGGAATTTGACTGCTTATACYGGGGGGTCTTATGAGTAGACCCTTTTTGAGTTCAAATTACCGCTGTGTTTCTTGATTACAGACTCATTTACTCAGGCTAAGCCTCGAATCAGTGTCTAATTACTCGCAAATACCAAAAGTAAAGAATGCACAACTTCAACAATACGAGCACTTTGAAACTTGACGGACCTTGACTGGAACACTTGCTTCACAAAATCGAGGCTAAGCCTGAGCAAATGAGTCTGTAATCAAGAAACACAGCGGTAATTTGGAACTTGAAAAGGGTCTATTACCAGCCATAGTTGCTAATGGAAAAGATTRAAATCTCTAAAAGTTTTTCTTGTGTTTAATGCCCAATACACGAAACCAATTTGTGAAATAAACGTTTTCTGTTATGTGTGATGACGTTATATTTTATTGAAAAATTAAAAAACGATCGTGGTGCATTTAGTTGGTTTGACTCAAAAATAAGCAAAGTTATATTGCCGAAAGAAATTTAATCCTTTCCATATAGACCGAGGCTGGTAAATAGTTGAGACCCCCCCACTTGAAGGAGTTTTCGTATGACTGTGAAAAGCTCACAGCACGGACGCGGTCGTGACACTGCAAGGCATGCTCCATACATATCACACTGCACGACAATTTACTCTCCATCCAATCAAATACTCGAACATTACATGTGCTAAACTTTGAAATATCTGTGTGTTTTTGACGCGATACAACCGAGTTATAAAATCGCTAAATTCACTTGCAATTATGTTGGAGTCACCTTAAGTGAAGTACTTACAATCCCCTCAATTTTTTCATTTTTGTAAAAAGACCATCTGGTAACACGGTTAAGTTGTTATTATTAAGATACCTGAAAATAATCGTTTTAAGTCTTGAAAAAACATGTTCACACATGCCAGTTGATAACATGGGAATAATAATTGGGAAAACATTGCACCACAACCAAATGATACCCTAGGGAATGTCACGTGGTCTGAATTAGGAAAACCTTGCACCACAACGAATAGGGTGTATTATATCTTGTTATAAACATAGATATTCTATTATACTTACAGATCTATCAAGGCCTGTAAATCTTTGAAAGATCCTGGTTCAATATATTTGATTTTGTTCTTGTTAAGGTCTCTAAGAAAAAAGAAAGCATGGCATCCTTAATTTAAATTTCTTCGAGGAAGCCATGCAAGGTGTTGTGCAGATGTGCAGTATGCTAGAAGAGTCGTGGCTCATGACTAAAGCGGTATACATTACAGATCCAAAGCTTTCAAACCAGGGTGATTTTAAGAAGAGAGGGGATGAGAATTACTAATAAACTATAAGTGAAAGTTAGAGTTAGCAAGAGTGTTTACACGATCAATCAATCAATCAATAAACATTATTTAACGAGGGTGACATATTAACCCAGTGAGTTAACTAAAATACGACCCTCGTACGGTACAAGGGAGACTCAATTGTTGCTAAAAATAGAAACCAATTCTACTAGCTTTTTGCTACTATTGCTGCAACTTGTCTTGCAACATTTTTCTTCAAATTGCGCTGTTTTTTAGATTAAACGCTCCAATGCTGCAGTTGCAAAGAAAATTGCTCCGTGCAATTGCGTCTTTTACATGAAATGACTCATTTTTCACAATGTTCGTTGATGTTATGATAAAAACAGCGCTAAATGTTTTTTTACGAACATTAGGGTGAAGGCATTTAACTTGTGAAATAACAAATACTAGTCAACGTGTAATAGTCAAATAGATACAAAAGAAAACAATGGAATTAGGGTCTACTAAAGTGCGTTAGTSTAATATATATTGCATGGGTAAAGTGACTACACTCTTTCATTGGGGTGTTGATTGGCCAACGGTTATCACAATGATTCTTGCAAAGTTCCCGGCTTTGTTTAATCAGGGAGTCGATCTCTGTGATAGGCATACAGTAGAAAATAGGCAGCTAGCGAAATATTACTTCTCTATTTCATCTAGAAGAAAAAGATACCATTAAAAAAATTCACTATGAATACTTACAGATATGTAAGTGAATGCAGCGTCAGAAATTCATAGCCTTTGATCCATTCAAGCTGATTATATGACAGATTCCTTGAAAAGAAAGAGCTTGATTAATAGACCAAATTCAAAACTCGCACCGATGTGAGGCTTAAATTGTGAACAAAGGAATCTGGCGTGATTCGTGACTTTTGAATCACGCCAGATTACTTTGAGTCACGCCAGAT